CTTAATTTTCACAAGGTTTGACTTTCACTATTTGAGTACAACAAAAAATTAAAAGATAAATTTCTTGAAAATATTTCTAAGAAATAAATATGGGAAAATTCCCTTTGGAATCATACTAGGACATCAGTTTTATCAAAGTATAAGAATTTTGATTATTTTATGATTTGGTTTGTGATCATTTGTATTACAAAACTTCCACAGAAAATGATACTTAAAAATTAAACTTGCGGGCTGGGGATGTGGCTCAAGCAGTAGCGTGCTCGCCTGGCATGTGTGCGGCCCGGGTTCGATCCTCAGCACCACATACCAACAAAGATGTTGTGTCCACCGAGAACTAAAAAAAAAAAAAAAAAAAATTAAAAAATCTCTCTCTCTCTCTCTCTCTCTCTCTCTCTCTCTCTCTCTCCTCTCTCACTCTCTCTTTAAAAAAAAATTAAACTTGCAATCCGAGATAAATAACCATATATCAGTTTTAGATGAAGAACCCCAAAGCAAATATGATCCAAACATTTCTCCTGTGTAGAATTCTATTATTCTTCATTGTTCTTGAAGATTCACTTTATAGGTTTCCAACTTTTTGTTTTAAATTTGGGAAAAACAGCCAGGCCTGGTGGCACATGTCTGTAATCTGGGAAACTCTGAGGCTGAGACAGAGGATCCAAAGTTGAGGTCAGCCTTAGCAACTTAGTGAGATTCTGTCTCAAAATAAAAAAAAATAAAAAAATAAAAAGGACAAGGGATGTAATTCAGTGGTAAACCATGCCTGGGTTCAATATCTGTACCCATCCCCCAAAATATTGTAGGATATTTTAAAGAACCTACATAATTGATAGTTTTCAAAGTAAAAATATTGTTTGATTTTTGCCATGGAAAACTTTCCCCAATTTTAAGATAAATATACCTGGTAACAGGTAGTTTGACCTATCTTTAGAAGGGTCAAGTTACAATATCAGCACATTTAAGGAACTGATAATGCATTTTAAGATAATTCTATTAAATTATACTTTTAGCAAGATAATTTTAGTAATTAACACCTGATTTCTTGAAAATAAAAATTGTTTGAATGAAGTTGACATTGAAAGAGTCCTTTTCAAAAGTGAAACTCTATAAGTCTGAAAATTAAAATTTGTTTTTATCGGCTAAGCATTTATCTTGGTACCACTGAGCTACACCCCAGCCCTTTTCTTATTTTTATCTTCAGACAGGGTCTCACTGAATTGCCTGCTGGCATCAAACTTGCGATCCTCTGGCCTCAGCCTCCCAGGTGTCTGGGATTCCAGGCTTGCACTACTGCACCTGGTTCACACTCTTAAAATAACCGGGGTGCTGCCAAGCGCTGTGGTGAAAGGACCCCTATGATGTGAGGGACCGCCTCATGTTAAGTGTCTTTCATGTAACTCTGGAATGTCAGGGATTTTGCGCCTCAAAAAATGTTTCCAAGGTTGTTTATACACTGTATTTTTTTATTCATAGTGAATAGCAGTTTTATTATTTCTAGTTGAGAAGAACCCCCACCTAAAAAAACTCCAGTATCTTCATTTTTTAAAAATTAGTTTTCTTTTTAAAGAATGAGTTACAGAAAACCCAGAGGTACTTATACAAATGAATTGTACTATTAGATAAGAAATTAAATGTTCTATTTTTATGAAGATAAATGTGTCTCTCTTCTCTCCTTATTCTGTGTGCTCCCGGGGTAAACTAGCAAGGGCACCATGTGACGATCTTTGGGGGAAACTGGGCCCACACCATGGACTGGGTCCTCAGGCTGCAAAAGCTGAGCTGCTTCTTAGCTGGAAAGTGGGGTGTGGAAACATGAAGAAGAGTCTGTTTGGGAGCTCTTCTTGGTGGCCCCGAGAGGCTTCCCTTTTAAGCACCGTATGCTGCACTCTCAGGTGTGGTGTGGGGTCCTTGCAGCTGGACCAGGAGCCTGATTCAGGCAGCAGGGCCTCCTGGTGGTGACTGTGCCTCCACCTGCGCTCCATGTCAGCTGCCCATGGCAGCCAGGGTGATGGTCTCACAGCACAGATTGCACCACGTCCTTCTGCCTCTCCTGTGGCTTCGCTTTACCTAGAACAAAACCCGAGCTCCTTACCCCTTGGTAAGAGATCACGCAGAGCTGCGGACTCCTCTCCCCCTGACAGGGCAGAGCCCTCCTCTCCTCTCCCCTCCTCCCTGTTCTAGCCACTTGGCGCATTTGTTTTGGAATGTCCTTTTACTTCATGACCTTAGCATCCGCTGCTCCCCTTTCAATCCCTTCTCCCCAGAACTTTGGATATCTGCCTGCTTTTCTCTTTAGGGCTCAGCTCAAATGCTCCTTCCCCAAGGTGGCTTCTGACCCCCAAACTGAAGGCCCTCCCTCCTTCCCTAAAGAATTATTCTCGGTCCCACTACTGGGGTTTTCCCAGGTTTCTGCAATCCATATTTGCTTATGGATATTGTCCCAGGGCTCCAAGGGCAGCTTTAGGTCCACCGGATAGCAAGATGTAGTGTCCTGGTTGGCTGTTCTCATGACAAGCAGGCTTAGTGACTAGACCCTCCGGAACCGACCCCTTCTCTTATACTGATACCCCCTTGGACTGGGAGGAAGAAGAGATGGGCTCCCGGTAGGGCACCCAACAACTGTTCCCACGGTTTCATGGTATATGGTGTTTTCAGATATAAACAGAAACTTCAAGGAAAATTGGGACGAGTGCTCACATAGGACCAGAGAGTTCTTGGGGATGCTCAACAGGTGGTTTGAAATGCAACAGAACCATCTTTGGCCATTAGATTTTCTTTCTAGCTTTGCTCAGGTTGTGGAAATCAGGTACCAGAAATGGATCGTTCTGTGACATACAATGACATATAGGTGGATTCAGTAGGACACCCTGAAACACACACACACACACACACTCCTCACAACCTGCACATCTCATACAGCACCAGCCCCAGGTCCTCCATATACAGTATCCAGCATATGAATGGAAATAGTTGACAGCCTACAGAACCGAGTTTAAAAGAGTATATCATTTCAAAACCTCCGAGCCAGAACATTTTAAGAAACTGCACTGTTCCAGAAATTCTTCACAGCAAGAAACAGAACAACTTCATAAACTTAATATAGCCAGTTACCACATCCCCTGGAGGCCCAATTGGTCAGTCACTAGAGAGGATGGTCTGCCACCTGGTGGCGACTCTTAGCACTGCCTTTGGTGAATCACACCTCCCAGGGTGTTTCTCCTGCACAGGATAGGAACATAGAAGAGCTAGGAAAGTCCTTAGCTATATTTCTAGCAACGAAAAATAGCACAAGTTACCTATGAAAATTCTTTTTGTTACCAGAGATTGAACCCAGGGTGCTTAACCACTAAGCCACATCCCTAGCTCAGTTTGTTTTTTTTTTTTTTTTTTTTTTTTTTTTTTTGTTGTTGTTTTTGAGTCAGGGTCTTGCTAAGTTGCTTAGGGCCTCACCAAGTTGCTGAGGTTGGCTTTGAACTTGTAATCCTCCTGCCTCAGCCTCCTAAGTGGCTGGGGATCACAGGTATGCACCACCACATTGGGCTACATGTTTAGTTTTTAAAAGTAACTCCTGAACAGCTTTCCAGAGTGGCTGTACTGTTTTGCACTCCCACCAGCAATGAGGAAGAGACACTTTCTCCAGTCTTGGCCAGCATTTGGCCTCATCACCATTAAGTTTTAGCTGGAGGTGGGGAGTGCTATCTAACTTCCTTTGCATTTCCCCAAGGGCTGGTGATGTTGAAAATCTTTTCTCTTGCTTTTTGGCCGTTAGGGTCTCCTCTTTGGTGATGCCTTTTTTTATTTTTGCACATTTCCTAGTTGGCTGTTTGGTTTGGACATCTGGTTTCATTATTACTGTTTTCACTGTTGAGTTTGAAACAATCTTAGGTGTTTTATTTTTTTTATTATTATTATTTTTAATATTTATTTTTTAGTTTTCGGCGAACACAACATCTTTGTTTGTCTGTGGTGCTGAGGATTGAACCTGGGCCGTGCACATACCAGGTGAGCGTGCTATCGCTTGAGCCACATTCTCAACCCCAATCTTAGGTGTTTTAGATATACGCCCTTCTTCAGATTTGTGGTCTTTTATTTTCTCTTGTCTGTAGCTTGTCTTCATGCTTTTCGCCCTTTAGATTTTAGATTTTAATAAAGTTTTGATTTTTTGTTTGTTTTGGGTACCAGGGATTGATCTCAGGGGCACTAAACCACTGAGTCACATCCCCAGCCCTCTTTTGTATTTTTTATTTAGAGACAGGGTCTCACTAAGTTGCTTAATACCTGCAATACCATTGCTGAGGCTGGCTTTGAACTCACCATTCGCCTGCGTCAGGTCCTGAGCCACTAGGATTACAGACCTGCGCCACTGTGCCCGGCCCTTAGTAAAGTTTTCAATTTAAAAACTTTAAATTTGGGCTGGGGATGTGGCTCAAGCGGTTTTGCGCTCACCTGGCATGTGTGCGGCCCAGGTTCGATCCTCAGCACCACATAACAACAAAGATGTTGTGTCCGCCAGCTAAAAAATAAATAAATATTAAAAAAAAATAAAAAATTTAAACTTAAATTCTGATGAAGTTCAATACATCAATTTTTAAAAAATGGATCATGCATTGTGTCTAAGATCCCTTCCTCATGCCCTGCCTAGATCGTGAACATCTTGTGAAGTGTAGGATTAGTTTTGTTTGCCTGTAGTCCTGCTCAGTAGGTCAGACAGTGCTCCTTCTCCCAGCCCTACCAGAGATCTGGAACCTCTGAATGACATCAGTGGGGCAAAGGGGTTTGTCACATGGTATTGCATAAAGCTTCTCTAGGTGAGGTCATCCTGGGTTATGTACATGGGCTGGGTGTCATCACCCTTGTAAGAGGAAGCAGAGGACCAGGACGTTGGAAGGCGGGGCCAAGAAGTGCAACAGCCTCCACCAGTTTTTGATTAGGATGGGCCTGAAAATTCATTCTTGTAACTCTGTTTCCATTCTTCCTTTATCCTTTCCAGGAAGCCACATATATTAATTCATATTTTGATAAGCTGTAAGCAATTCTACAATTCATGGGTTGCGTGACTTCTAATAGGCTGATTCGTTGCACTAGTCGCCCTTCACTCACCGGTCCAATAACTATGCTTGGAGCGCTCACGCGCCGGGTGGGAGGCCCTCAGGACCGCCCTGAGAGGCGCAGGCTTCAGGCTCGGACCCCCAGGAACTTGCCCTCTAGTGGGCTAAATAGGAAGGTGTGTCTACGAAAATAAAGACCGGCGAGCGTGCGCACGGTGCCCGGCTGTACTAGGAGGGGAGAGCAGGGCCGCGGTGAGTGCATTCAGTGCTAGGCCTGGCTGGGTCTGGGGCAGCGACAGGCGTTGGCCAAGAGTTCTGGGCTGAGGCACCAGGTCCTACCGAGGCGTGGAGACCCAGCAGAACGCGGGGCTCTAGGAAACGCTGGGCTCGCGAGGCGAGAAGCTGCGGGGAGAGGAACGTGAAAGGAAGAGCTCCTGGGTGCTTTGTTAAGAAGTCTGGATTTGACCCCGAAATGAGGTGCATCATAAGATTTGAGCAGGGACGGACGGCATGGTCCTATTCGGCTTTTTGATACCGCTCTGATGGCTGTAGACGAGAGCTGACCCCGGGGCAAGGCTGATGCGGTCACCTGGAATAGGTAACCCTGTGCCAAGCAGCAGGGGTAGGGAGAAGGGCGGGCTCTGAGGGCGGAGGAGGCGGACCCTGCAGGCAGGATGGGATCAGCGGGACAAGGAGACACAGGACTGCTTGGGGACGCTGGCTTGGGAACCCTGCTTGCCGTGCTCTTGCTGGTTGTTGGGATCTGTCCTCCGCAGAGAGCAGACGCTGGCAGGTCGTGGTGTTTGACTGGACTAGCATTGTAAACCAATTTTGTTGTTTGTTTGTTTTGGTGCAAAATGCCCAGAACAAGAATCATCTATATGAACATTTTAATTCCAGCTATTTTTTTCCCTTTGCTGTGTGGCTCACTCAAGGATCATGTCCCAGACACTAGCAGATGGGGCTGAGTAGACAAGAGATGCCAACCACTAGCATATTTTATTGATTATTTAATATTCTTAAAGCTCCATCTAGTTCCAAAAAAGAATTTGGAGCCACCTACTATGAAAACACAAATGCAATAAAGCTGAACATAACAGACACAAGGGAAAGACGAATATCTGGGTCCCTTTGTGCACAATGGCCACAGGCCATTGCTTACTCCTTAGCCTCAGGGTCTTCTTTCCTTTCCCCAGAAACAGTGCTCTGACTTATCCCTAGTCTCCTCTCCACACTCTGTGGGCTTCTGAGGAAGATGGCTCTAGCTTCTAAATAATTAGAATTGGACTTCAAGCTCAGGAAACCCACCACCCTGATTGGTTCTGAGGGGGCATATTTCCTAAGCAGGTCTAATTAAAGGAAAGTCTTTGCTCAGTGGATGAGAGACACACAGCGGAGGCTTATGGCAGCTCTCTTGGGGCCATAAAGGGAGGTCCACTGAGGCTGGAGCCAACCTAGAGGAAGCTGAGATGAAATACAGATTCATAACCTTTGAAATCCAGATCATGTGGAGCTCCGAACTACTTGGTTTGGAGAACCAATTGGTTCCTGGGTCAGTTTGGGCTGGATTTTCTGTCACCTAGAAGGGAAATATTTGTAACTTGACGACATTCCTGGAAGGGGCCTCCTGTCCTGGAAAAGTCAAAGCCAGTAAGAAGTGAAATGGAGCCCAGAGGAAAAGGGGCTCAAAATGGTTAACTTGGCTGGGCAGAAGGGACCTTCTTCAGACAGCACACCCACCTGTTACTCCTTCAGGGAGACAGAAGGCACAAAGGCCTTCAGGAGGGGGAGACTCAGGCCAGGAGCTCTGCTCTCCTCAATAGAAGTTCTCCCCGGAGCTTGCGCCATAAATATGCATTGGCCCCCACAGATTCAGGGATTGAACTAGGATGTTCTGAAATGGGATCTCAGCAGATGGAGGGTCTTGCAGGGACCCCAGGTATTCAGAAGTCACTGCATAGGGAGCAGTCTCCTGATGGAGCCTCTGAAGCACCTGAGAAGGCTGCAGAGCTCCTTCCTCCTGCCCCACTATCTGCTGTTTAGTAAGTTGTTAGAGTCTGTAAACAAGTCAGGATGGCACCTGGTATTTTGCCTTAGAAATGTTAGAGTTCGTAAACAAGTCTGGATAGTGCCTGGCAAAATGCCAGAGGGAGTGGTTTGAGAAGTAACAAAAGCGAGCCATTAAGTGTAGAGATTCCTTATTGGTTGACTGATGTATCTAGTTTATGCTAATTAAGATAAGCTGTGCAAAATGTATAAATACCTCTGTTGTCCTACAATAAATGGCTCCTACTCCTGCTGTATCAACATACACAAGGTATTCCTCACCTCCCGGTTATTTTGCTGCAGCCGGACTGCAGCAGTAAGTGAATGTCGCTGAACAGATCTTCCCTCGATGTGCCATGACCTGCACAACCGTTGATTCAGGAAACTGGACAAGGGGCGAAGGGGGACTAGAAAAAACAAATAGGACACAACGAGAGAAAAATCTGGGCCCCAGTGGATATTGCACTCTGATGGAGTGCAGTGACCGCGGGCCAGCTTAGCACATGTATTATATGAGTTTTATCATTAAAAGGGTCACCGTGGGAAAGTCTCTTCAAAGCAAGTAGAGCCAAGGGCACGAGGAGGAGCAGCCTGATTATGATTATCAGCTTGGACCCTAACTTTCTACCTCCAGCAACTGGTGTCTGAAACTCAAGGTTAAGAACTGAATAGCTCTGTGACAGGCACAGAACCTCCTACGGAACAAGGTGTCACTATAGCAACTGGGCCATCAAGGTCAGTGCCTTGGCACTGAGAGCTCTCTAGAGGTGCATGGTCTCTGTCCCAGGACAGTTCAAAACCTATGATTCAGTTGCCACTCACAACATCCAGGGATCTCCCCCCTTCTCTGATGCTGCATTATAGACACCCTAAAGTTGTGTATTTCAAACCGCTGGTCTCCACCTACTAGGGCTCATGAAATAGATTTTGTAGGTATTGTCATCTGTTTTGTGCTACTGTCATAAAAATATCCCAGATAGACTGGGAAATTTACAAAGGATGGAAATTTACTTGTTCAAAGTTCTGGTGGCTGAGAAGCTCAAGATCAAGGTCTCAGTTTTGGGGGAGGGCCTTCCAGCTCATCATGCATGCAAAGGCAGAAGGGCAAGAGAAAGTGGGAGGAGCCAGACTCACCCTTTATAATGGCACCAATCCCACCCCAAAGGCAGAGCCCTCTTGAAAGTTCCACCTCTTAATACTATTGCAAAGGTGATTAAATTTCAGTGTAGTCTGGGAGAAGACAAACATTGAAATCATAGCAGTATGTCTCAACAAACATTTGGGCGAAAAAGAAACAAAAATCTGAGTATTACCTATAATAAGAGTAAGTGCCCTCTTGTCTGTGTTTTTCAGAGGTACTGTGTGGCAGGTGTTCCTTCCTCTGAGGTCTAGGTCAAAGGTTGTGTTGAGATTCTTCCCAGAGGACCTGAAGTGGAAGACAAGGGTCGGGTAGAGGGAGGAAGAGGGGCTAAGGGAGGAGAAGGAGGTTGGAAGTAATTGCCTCCTGGTTACAGTTACTCTTGTGTTGGGTTCTGTGGGCTGGGGGAGAGGCAGGCACGTGACAAGGCTGGGGTTCTGAGAGTCCTAAGCAAATACTGGGTCCTAGGACTGCATTGCTAGCTTCCTGTGACTGTGTCTGGGAAGGAGTGCCAAATGAGAAGGTTCTGGAGTAGGAGAACAGAAAGTCATTATTCTAGAATTATTTATGTCTCTTAAGGTTGTGGCTGGGTGGTGCTGAAGCATTCATGAGTTCTTAGTAGTTCTTGACCAGGGAAAGGATTGCCCTCGGGATGTGGGCGCCACTGTCTGGAGAGAGGTCTAGTCATCACAACTGAGTGGCATGGGGTGCTACTGCTTATTAGTGGATGAGGACAGCGTTGCTGCAGTGCCCTTAATAAGGAAATTTCCGGCTCAAAACAAGAAGGGTACAGAGTAGAGTCAGAGAGAAAGGGTGCGTGGGAGCCTGGCTGTGGCATTGCAGGGAATATCTTGTGATTTGGTGGGGAGTTTTGCATTGTTGAGATGGTACAGGACACACCTCCAGGTTGTCTTGAGTTTATGACAGAGATTTACCATCTGAAGATGCATATATAGATTCATCTAAAGAATAACCTCTAGATTCAACCCCAGAATCATTTGTAACATCTCCAGTTTTGTACTTTGGGGGTTGAACTGGGATGTTATGAAACAGGAACTCATCTGATGGAGGGCACAGGGATTAACTCCTCTGATCAGTAGAGGATACATGGTTCTACCTCTCTCCCAGGTGGAGGGCAAAAAGATTTACTCTCCTCTTAGGGCAAAGGACACGTGGACCGACTCTTACCACAGAACCTACTGTTACTGCTGTTTACCGGTAAGGAGTCCTTGCTTCCCCAATACTGAAGTATAACACCAGAGAAGCATGCAAGTTTAGTGTGGAAAGTAGAAGCTTTATTAAGGACAGCAGAAAAGACTTCTCCCCAGAGGAAGAAGGGGACTCAAGAGGTGGAATCCATGGAAGGGGGGAGGTCTTCCCTCTTTTATAGCTAAAGTCTTCTTTTAGCTTTCCCGCATTTCTGTCAACCTTCTTGTCCTTTGTTCTGTTATCTTGCAGTGATAGAATGTAGGTGGGGAGACCCAAAAGGTGAGGGGCAGATGGATCTAAGGAGTAATCTTGGGCAGGAAGGGCCTGGGACTGCTTCTGATTAGCACCTCTCTGTTTGCTGGGAGCTGTTCCATTAACATTTCTTTAGAATGGGCTCTGGGCCTTGGGAATATTATCATTTCAATTTCCCAAGTGCTGCTCTGTTTTCCCAGACCCCATTCTCATAATGGCCTTCATTTTCGATTTTACTTGATATTAGACCCGGGATTTACCTAACTACACTAACTACTTATCTTTAAATCTGGCTTCACTACTCTTCTAAAAGGGCATACAGATCTACTCTGTCTAGCAGAGAATGTGGTAACCCATTACCCATTACTGAATGGGATGTAATTCTCAGATATATCCATAAACAAATTAAGATATTTATACATACTCATAAATATTCACATCACATTGAAGCCAGATTTAAAGATAGGTAGTCAGTGTAGTTAGGTAAATCAGGTCTAATATAAAATCCAAAATGAAGGCCATGTTGAGAATGAAATCCGAGAAAAGCAGAACAACTCTTGGAATGTTAATGTCCCCAAGGCCCAGAGCCCATCCCAAAGAAATGTTGACCGAAAAGTCTTTCCTGCTCAGATTACTCCTCAGTCCCACCTTTTCCCCAACCCTTGGGGCCTTCCCACTTACATTCCATCACTGAAAATAACAGAACAAAGGACAGGAATGGGGGGGGCAGATGAAGACTTCAGCTATAAAAAAGGGAAGACATTGCCCTTCCACAGATTCCACCTCTTGGGTCCTCTTCTTCCTCTGGGAGAAGTCTTTTCTGCTGTCCTTTACTAAAGCCTCTACTTTCCACTCTAAACTTGCCTTTTCGTTCTTCTCTGGTGTTATACTTCAACATTGGGGAAGCAAGAACTCCTCACTGGTAAACAACAGTAGCAACATTATTATGCACACTCATGTAGATATTTATATCCATATGCATACCTGTTCAAATTCATAGGAGTATTCATATTCCTGTTTTTGTACACATCATATTCATCTTTCTCATATTTATGCATATATATAAGCACATAACATAATATTCATATATATTCATCACATATCATATACAGATTCATGTACATATTAACATAAATATGCATGTATATGTTCATATTCATATAAACAAATTATTTTCCATATGCAAGCTCATGTTCATATTTGTACAGACAGAATCCAAGGCCAGGATTCCCACCTGTGGACTATGTGCAACGCAGCTGCAGCTCGGGGACTGGAAAGCCACACAGAGGGGCTGAGGGGTCCAGGAGAGGCTGCCGGCCCCTTTGGATCTGGGGTTCTCAGGGGACATTCCCAGGAACACCCATGGCTGGCCACTTGTCTGGAGATGACTTGGGCAGCGGCCCCAGTTTGGGTGAGTGTGTGGCCCTGGCGTTCCAGTGGAGACACTATCGGGATGGGCAAATTGCTGGTTTGCAATCCTACTTGGGACAGCCCTGCAGGCCACAGGACAGTGGGGCACAAACTGCCATGGCTTGGCGCTGGGTCGCACATCCCCTGGTGCTAAGCCATGGAGTTCCTCCCTGGATGCCCCATGGGGCAGCAGCAAATGGTGCAGGGCTCCCTGCGAGTTCCCAGGGCACAGACCGCAGTGTGCCCTGTCCCCTGGGCACAAGCCCTGCCCCAGGAGGAGGAACACAGGCAGGAAAAACAGCCAAACGCCCACAGGAACCAGAAGCACCGGGCCAGGCTGGGGCAGACAGTCAAAGGGGGCCTTTCTTGCCTGCACCAACGTGATACTCCAGGCTTCCCTGGTGACTAAGGCAAGCGCTGGGAGGGGGACAATGTGAACAATGCAAGGCTGGGGCCCCTGCTGCCCAGTGGCAGAATACTAGCAGGACTTCTAGGGTCAGAACAAATAGGCCATAAACATCCCCAAATGCCAGGCAAACCCTGGGCCCAAGAGAACCCAGAACTCCAGCCACAGGGAGGGAGCAATGTGGCTGGTAAGCCCCGCCTCTCACAGGCTTCCCATTGGTCCTTTCTTTGTCACTGGAACAGGGCTCTTTGGTCCCGCCTTCGGGCTACTAACCTGCACTTCCTGTTCCTCACAGACCTGCTGCTGGGGCTACCCAGAGCATGCGTTTTCAAGGATGCCTACCTATAGGACGTCTATTTCAGACAAAAAACATGATCGTAACGTGTTCTCAAAGCTAAATAATCTGATTTTTATCCCTCCACAGTTTTCTTTAGAAAGCCTTTATAGTTGTATTATTAAGAAAATTTACAAAGGAAATGTTACATTTATGAGTGATGCATATGTTTGCTTGTATTTTATTTTTAAAAATTTTGAAAGTACCTTTGATCATCACGAGAAAGTAAAAAGGCCAGCAATTTGAGACAATTTTCTCACAGTCTCTCATGAGGAGCAAATCACATAATTCTTCTTGGTTTCTAACTATGTAAATATAAAATGTAAACAGATATGTGCACAGAAATTTTGTGATATCACATAAGGGTGTGTGCACCCCTAGTTAAAAGTAAGTTAAAATGGACATTATAAAAAACAAAAAGGGTTTCATAAGGTTTACACAATTATAAACTATACCTTTATTTTTAAAAAATATTTATTTAGTTGTAGATGAACACACAGTATCTTTATGCATTTTAATGTGGTGCTAAGGATTGAACCCAGTGCCTCACACATGCAAGGCAAGCACTTTACCACTGAGCTACAGCATCGGCCCCTACCTTAATTCTTTTTTTTTAAGTTGTTTATTTATTTATTTATTTATATGTGGTACTGAGGATCGAACCCAGTGCCTCACACATGCCAGGCAGGCGCTGTACCACTGAGCCACAACCCCAATCCCCTACCTTTATTCTTAATGTATATTTTCCCAGATATTTGGATAATCTATAGTCCTTAATTCATAGAATAATTAAAATGTCTATTTGTTTAATTATTATGTGTTTGTTTGCTTCTAATCATTTTCCTTCAACAGAAAACACATAATTTATATATTTCTTATACATGCATTTACTTATACTCTGCCTTTTAGTTACAGATATTTGAGATAAATGTATTTTACTATAAAAATTTTTTCTTTCAAGAGATAATACAACCATCAAGTAATTTCTAATTCTCAAATTATGGTACAACCTTTTTTAAGATGATAAACAAATATGATTCTGTCTACAGAAATATCCAAGGGCTTTAACTATATTTTCGTTGAGCTATTTCTTCTTATTAAGGTACAATTATTTATATTCTAAGATTTACTGGAATTATTCCAAATATAGCCCAGGAAAAATTCTAGAAGGAGAACAACATGCTTCAACAGATAGGAAACACATTGGAGGTCCTAAGAAGAAGAAGAAATCATCTTTGGGTACAACAAGGTCTTTATATTTTAGATTTTAATGATAAAAATTTCCTAAATAAGGAAATTCTTATGTCATTATCTATACACATAATATAGAAAGTTAAAAAAAATGAGAGACAGATTTATGTATAACTGGACTGACTGTAAATATAGACTAATCAATTCTAGGATATTTCAGGCTATTACCCTGATCTTATTATGCTGATGTGAACTAAGATTTTGTCCATATTTTGACTCAATAAAGACCTATATAATGTTAAGTTTATTGTCTAATGATTCTTAATGTTTAAGACAAGGATTAATTTTAGTGAATAAATTCACATCCTTAATTAAATAATAAACATTTTAAATGCTGACTCAAATTCCAATTTTGACATTTCTCCTTGGAGACTAAATTTGATTCTTGCATATTACTTCTGTTTGTTGGATAGTTGTAAGATTTGGAAAAACATTTTATTAGGACTGATCTTCTCCAAATTAGTTAGTTTGGAGCAGTAAAATTTGCAAACTTTTTTGGAAATTCATTGGTATTATATAAGTTCTCTGACTTGGATATGGTTACTCTCTGACTTAGTATCCATAAAAAATATGGTAAGATTTATATACTACTCCCTACACTGGGAAGTAACCTTATCATATTTTCTAAAAGACAATTAAGAGACACCTATTTAAAGGATAATATTCTGAGATATAGAGATATTTTGAGATATGATATCTTCTCTCAGAAAGAGATTGAGGGTTCTTTTCAAATTATTAAGAAGGATCAACTAGTCTATATACTAGAAAATTACAATAATCAATAAAAAGTATTGTTAGACCAGGACGAAAGAAAAGACCACTGACTCCAATTAAAATCAAATTAAAGCAAGCTTATTATTTCGACTGGCCGGGTTGCCTCTCCCTCCCCAAACAGGGGAAACAAGACAGCAGCAGCAGCAGCTTTCCTGCAGCCCAGCTTTATAGCCCAGAAAGTTACACAAAGGGGGGGTTACAGATAGCAGATCTCTGTCTGACAAGCATCACACTAATGATAGTTTGCATTTTTTTATGGCCCCAACATCAGAATTTATGAGGGCCATTAGAGCCTCAGAGAGGGTCGTTATCTGGCCAGGGAAGGCCAATATTTATGAGGTGTCACTAAAGTTTCAGAGAGGGCTGCTATCTGGTCAGAGAACCAGGCATGGGTGAGTTCAAGGCACGGGCAGGCATTCCAAGCAGATTCAGAATTTGCAGTAATTTATAGTAAAGCCGAAATTATCTTTTCATGGCTTTGTGGTGAGATGGCTCCCAATTTAAGAAAAGATCAGGTTGGGTCTATTAGTATCTCATTTTCATATCTAGCCTCAATAACTATTAATAGAGAAGGCCTTAAAAATCACCTACTGGAACCTAAGATCAGAGGGGACCTCTCAAAATTAATATAAACCAGAACATATTCAGGGAGATTTTCAAGAGATCCAAATACATGTATTGTAATATTTCAAAATTTATGCCAGATGTCTAACCTTACCTAAAGAAATATTATGCTATTACTTAGCTAAACTTTGAAATAGAAGGCCATCTTGAAAACAATTTTAAAAGAAATTTATCTTAACTATGTCCCAGTAACACAGAATAGGGACCAACCTGATTGTCTGAAATACAGACAACCCCCCAAAACAGATATCCAACAGATAAACAAAATGCCTAAAAAAATAATTTTAGTAAGCCTTTAGAAAAATCCTGCTATTTTCGTAGAGAGACTTAAAGAGAAAATACAACACCTAAACTTATAGGGGGGGCACTCATTTTCTAAAGATGAGTTTATCATCCAGTTATCCCTAGACATTCCGGGGGATTTACAAAGGTTAGCATATTCTAACCAAGTTTAGATATGACACCATAGATAAATGGAGCCCAAATGAAGAAAAAGAAAGGCAAATATACAGAGATTAAAATGCTAATCTTATCCCAAGAAAAATAAGCTTTCTGATTAAAAATTTTATTCCTCTTCTAAGTTAAAAACGGATTTTAGAAGCTTCTAAACATTGAAACAGGGCCTTACTTCAAGCCCCTATCAACAGTTTGTCACTGAGGAAAATAACACTATAATAGTTACCCCTAAAATATCAGACAGACAACTATAAATAAATCAGCTCAATAGCTGGTAGATAATTTTAATAAAAAAAATTTAAAAAATGATAGACCCTTTTCAACTTTAATAATATGAGATAATGCCCTACATATATTGATATTTTTAAATTAGCAAAGTCATACATAATTATTAGAGCTAATTTTACTACATTAAATAAAGTTACTAAGGATACTCATAGAGCTATTTATTTATACACAAAAATTGTTTTGACAATAATCCCTGAAGATGTCATTGCTAGGTCACTGTAACACAAATTCTAAATTAGATAATTTTCTTAAACAACACTGTTAACTTTTTTTACCCATTAATATTTAATGGGTAAATATTAATGGGTAAAAAACTTGATAACAGTAATGATAGTTTTTTATGGATTCATAAAAAAACTATTTATTTCTCTATTTCATTCTTTATTAACGATAAAAACCAAAACACTGTCTCTGGACTTATTTAACATATGTACTTCCTATTTTGGATGTTTATATAATTTCTCATTGCCCCATAGTAAAAGCCACCATTCCTAAGTTAAAAAGTCTGTTTCTCACTTCATTCCAAATTATGATAATTATTTAAGTTAATCTAGAGCTAATTTCAAACTACAAATTTTTATATACAAATTATTGTATTCTTCATTTTTGGTAATTCAAGTCATACATTTAATAAAGGCTAAATTTTCATTTATCATGATCCCTTTATATGACTTTTGCCAAGTCTCATGACCAGCTAGAGATAATAAATCTTTTCTAATCATTTAAATACTTGTACTATTGTCGATCATTTAAACTAATGATATTATGATTTATGCCAGCCTTTCACTCGATGTTAATTAGTAAAACAGGGGGAAACAGGACCCACAGGTACATTATACATTTTATAAAATATTTTAAAATTTTTTCTTAAATTGTAACATTGAGAGTCTTACTGCTGCTGAACATGATTCAGTAAATTAAATTAGATTTCAAAGATGGAGTTTAAATCGGTCATCAAGGAAATGTTGAAAACACAGGAATGTAAATCTCCCAACTGCAGAGTTTACAGCCATGCCGCTTTACAGGCTTGTCAGGTAAGTAAAAATTATGAACAAAGTTCTATGGATCCATTTCTCAGGTCCACCTTTAATATACCTTCTACCCATGTAACTGCCGGGGTCCGGCTGCAGCAGAATAGCTGGGGGGGGGGTGACGAATAACTTGTGTAGATTGATACAGCAGGAGTAGGAGCCCTTTATTGTAGGACAACAGAGGTATTTATACATTTTGCACAGCTTATCTTAATTAGCATAAACTAGATACATCAGTCAACCAATAAGGAATCTCCACACTTAATGGCTCGCTTTTGTTACTTCTCAAACCACTCCCTCTGGCATTTTGCCAGGCACCATCCAGACTTGTTTACGAACTCTAACATTCCCCTGGCAAAATACCAAGTGTTATTTTGACTTGTTTACAGACCTTAACATGTAACTAGATTAATCATACTGACTGTAATGGTCAGTTATCCTTATATGTTGATCCTATGGTAAACAGTTTGTCTGGGAGTATCTTTTGAGAAAAAGACAGCATATGAGAAACCTCAACCAGCCAATTATGCTGGTCCTTAGAAATTAAGACTATGTATCTGAACAATTGTCAAAATAGAGAGGTTTTTGAAATGGAACTTTCCAATATAGGTCAGTTATTTACATAAAATATCCACCAATGCATTATTGCCCTAATAATTCTATAATAGAAATTGGCATCTTTCCTAAATTGATAGATTGTGCAAATGTTTTGCAAGTGCAACATAAAATATCTAGAAATGGTGGATATATTTTAGGCTGGTCTCCTAGAATGGACAAGTACAATTGCAGAAGGTTGCAATGACTCCTAGAAACCTTAACCCGCAGTGAGATGGCACCCAAAAGAATGTTTGATGTTTGACTTTTGCCTTCAGAGTATTTACATTACTGACAGACCTAGAAGACTTCT